TTTATCAAGAGAGAGCACATTGTGAAACATAGTACAGATTAGGGAGAAAGAAGATTTTGCAGTTTGGCCACCTCCCTGGCTGATCAAAGTAATTCTCTATTGATCCAAAGTGTATAAAGAAAAAAAATACCTAAAGAATCCTAATTGTACAGGGTGGTTCACTTAGCCGTCAGCTTAGAGAAGTGGAGTGGACCAAAGATCTTTAATACCTTCCAGGCCTAGCAGGTATCTTCTGAAACTGACCTGTGCGATGGAGTAATCTGAGTTGTTGGTGGCCTGCATGCCCTCATTTCCACTGATTCCCACACCCACATGAGCCGTCTGGATCATACTGACGTCATTGGCGCCATCCCCCACAGCAAGCGTGATAGCCTGTACGTGCTTCTTAACCATGCCCACGATTTCAGCCTTCTGGAGGGGGGTCATCCTGAAAAAGAAGACAGGAACAACCACTTTGATTGTCATATTTGGATTCGATTTACTTCACAATCTTTACAAAAAAGAACAGTAATCTGTACGTATTAAATGTATTAAAATGGCTGTTATTGGTTAATTTCTTAATTAATTTTTCTTCTTACTTTATTTTTTGGAGGCAAGATCTCATACTGTAGGCCAGGCTAGCTTCAAACTTGCCATGGAGTCCAAGCTGGTCTTAAATTCACTATATAGTCTACCTGACTTTTAATTTACCATCTTTCTTTCTTAGCTTCCTCAGTGCTGAGATTACAGGATTATACCACTATTCTGAATTCCCAATTCTTTAGTTAAACCTTTTGCAAGTGCAAAATTGTTCCCCATCATCTCTCAGAAATGAAACAAAGACAAATTATACATTAACCGGTTCAATATATCAACAGAAATATGTATCTGTTGCTAAGCATAAATGTAGATCAGTTCTTTAAGTTATTGTTTTTCCTACAAATCCCTACTGTCTAAAGCTAATCTACTATATTAATTTACATTATCTTTTTACAGGTGAAGAAAAAAAAAGGTTTCTTGATTCTGATGCTATCTGAAAATATTCTCCCAAACTGAGCACTGGTGGATCACATCTATAATTCTAGTTACTCAGGAGGCTGAGATCTGAGGATCATGGTTCAAAACCAGCCCAGACAGACTGTGAGACTCTTATCTGCAATTAACCACCAGAAAAGTCATGAGTATAGGAGCTGTGCCTCAAGTGGTAGTATGCTAACCTTGAGCAAAAAAAGCTGAGTGACAATGTCCAGGCCATGAGTTCAAATCCCAGTACTAGCACATATATATATTTTTTCACCCAAAATGTGATATGTGATGTATCCTTTGAAAATTAAACTATATTCCTCTGAATTTTAATCATTCTGGGAAATTAAAAAACATGAGTATCAGCAAAGAGAGTCCAAGTAATGCTATGGTGACTAACAACAAAAGCTAAGCAACATAACGTAACAAATGTCTCATGCTATGTGTCCAATGAAGATTAACATCTATTATTGCTCCTTTATCCCTTCAGATATGCTACAAAAACAAATTTCATAATATTAAACAGTTTCAGGCTAGCAAACCTTGTCTGCCCCTGAAATATTTACGAAATATCAAGGATGTCCAGGTGCTGTGGCTCATGCTTATAGTCCTTCCTACTCAGATGGCTGAGATCTCACAACTACAGATGGAAGGAAGCCCAGGCAGATGAAACCTCAAGACTTTTATGTCCATTTCACCAAAAATCAGCTAGAAGTGGAGGTGTGGCTCAAGTGGCATAGCACCAGCTGTGAGTGAAAAAGCCAATTGAAAGGATAAGGACATGAGCTGAAATCCTAGTTCCAGGGAAGGAAGGAAGGAAGGAAGGAAGGAAAAAAGGATGAAAAGCAAAACTTTTTCCTCTTATTTATCATTTCACCTACTCAATAATTTTGGTATCAAAAACTCCTTCAAAACTCCCTTATCGGGCTATACAAAAGATTCTATTTTCTAGCAGGCAACTTAATACTTCCTGTCAAAACAGCTCCTAAGAATGAAATTTAAATTAGAGAAGTAGCCAAGATGCTGGAGAGAAGCCATTGATACTCTCCAGCATTTCCGCAACTTGGAAGCAAAACAAACAGAAAACAGCTTCTCAGCAAGGTTTTGAAGCTGAAAATCAAAGCCACTAGGTAGGGAGAAACTGCTATGGCAAAGCCACTATGATCCTCCAGGGGACCTGGAACTGTAAAGCATTTAAAAAGACGTTTTCTCTGAAAAATACTGACTCTGTAGTGAGGCTCATAAACTAAAAGCAAGATAAAGGTTAGGAGTTACAATCCCTTACAATTTTAGCTGTCCTGTCCTGACTCATCCTCTCCTAGAGTTACTCTGCCGCCATCTTGGAAGCCAGGACGGAATGGAAAAGAATGGTCATGATGCCAGGAAGCAATGACTCTTATAACAAGACATCACTTGGTCAATTCTGAGACAATGAACTGTCAGACCACATAGAACATACCTGTGACTGAGACATTTTAACTATTTGTACTTTCCCTCCTACTCTTAATTCCTTGTCTACTTAAACCTATAACTCATGTATGTGTTCTTTGGATGGCTGAAGATGTACTGAAATGCCATCTTCCCAAGCATGACTGTGGCTGCATAAGCCATGTAACAAGCCTTCTTTCTCTGCACGTCATCTTGCCTCAATTTTGGTGTATGAGGGCAAATGGCTGGACCTGACCTGTGGACTCCTCGACTTTTCAGTTTCTAGTCTAAAACTCTGGCTTCAGAAGCAGCTTGAAAATGATATGAATAAGGTATTGGGTGGAAACTCTTCAAGTCAAAACAAGAATCTTTGAGAGTCATCTCAGTTAGTCTGAGGGGCATTTTATTTTATTTTTATTATTTTTGTGTTCATGTGGTACTAAGGAATCAAACCCAGGACCTCATGCATGCTAGGCAAGCACTGTACCACTAAATCACATCTCCCAGGCCCCCCCCACCCCTTTTTTATTGATGCCGGTCTTGAGGCTTGAATCTTTTGGTGATTAATTGGAAATAAGAATCTTATGAGCTGGTGAGGGTGGCTCATGCTTGTAATCCTAGCTACTTAGGAGACTGATATCTGAGGATTGTGATTCAAGCCAGTCCTAGCAAGAAAGTCCATGAGACTCTTCAGTTAATCACAGAAAAAGCCAGAAGTGGTGCTGTAGCTCAAGTACTAGCCTTGAGCAAAAGGAATTTAGAGCCAGCGTCCAGGTCCAGGGTTCAAGGCCCAGGACTGAGAAAATGAAAAAAAGAAGAGTCCTACAGACTTACCTGCCTGGGCTTGCTTTGAACTTCAATCCTCAGATCTCAGCCACCTGAGAGCTAGGATTAGAGGTATGAGCCCAGCACCTGGCTTTCCTTTTTACTTTTGAAGACAGAATCTCACTTTATATACCAGTGATCACCTGCACTCTGGCTTACTATTTTAGACTTCCCACAGTTGCTAAAATAATAAGCATGTGCCACCATGACCAGCTTCCTCCTGGTGAGATGAGGCATCATGAATTTTTCTTCCTAGGATGGCCCAGAATCCTCCCAATCTTGGCTTCCCATGTGGTATTACAACTATAAACCACTATGCACAGCCATGGGTTAAGAAGAGGTCTTGTGAAATTTTCTGCTTGGACTAGGTTTGAACCATGATCTTCCAATTCTCACTTCCAAGGGTTCTGGGATTAAAAATGCAAGCTTTAGCTGGGCACCAGTGGCTTACACCTGTAATCCTAGCTACTCAGGAGGCTGAGATCTGAGGATCACAGTTCAAAACCAACCTGGGCAAGAAAGTCCGTGAGATTCTTATCTCCAATTAACCACCAGAAAACCTCAAGTGGCACTGTGGCTCAAGTGGTAGAGTACTAGCCTTAAGTTGAAGAGCTGAGGGACAGAGCCTAGGCCCAGAATTCAAGACCCACGACTGACAAAAAAAAAAGCAAGCCTTCCCTACACTGAAATTAACTCCTACATTATCCTATAAACATTCTAGTTCCGTGCTTTTATAACTTTATTTTGGGAGTGGTTGGTGATAATAATTGTGTTACAATAATGGTTTTTGTTATTGCTGTTGGCTTCCTTTCCTCTAAGTAGCAGTGAAATAACATAATATAACTTAGCAGATGTGCAAATTACAGTGGAAAATAAGTAATGAGAAAGCAAAAATCCTCCAAAGTCAACAACTAACTCTACAGTAATAGTCACTAAAGATAATTAAGTGGATGAAATCTCAGATAAGGAATTTAAAAGAATGATTAATGAAATTAGAGGATAGCCATATATACCTGAATGAATTAAAAGAGAATTTAAGTAAGCAACTGAAAGAATTAAAAGAGAATACAAAGAAGCAGCTAAGTGAACTAAGACAAAGCACAATATGGAAGAATTCAATAAAACTATAGAAATTCTAAAAAAATTTAGATCCTGGAAATGAAAAAAACACAATAATTCAAGTAAAAACTTGTTGAAAGCTTCACACACACACACACAAACACACACACACACACACACATACACAAAACTGAGTCAGATTGAGGATAAAATATCAGAGTTTGAAGACCAAGTAGATGAATTAGAACACTGAAATAAAGATAAAAAATATAAGAAAAAACCATCAAAACATATAAAACCTCCAAGACTCCATTAAAAGACCAAATCCATAAGTTATAACATGAGACATAAGTATGGGTATATCACAATAAATACCAATGATATCCTGGAGATCATCAGAGCCTCTTTTGGAGTGTAAGTTGCAAAGAGAAGACTCTTTTGGAGCATGAGGTGGGAGTTTTTTTAAAAAAGATAGGTGGGTGTGATTGAAGTGCTTTATGTGACTATTTTAATAGAATAATAACAAATTGAAAATTGTATAAAAAGGTGGGGATAGGAAAGAATAATATACTGTGTTTGAAATGAACTTTACAATTTGCAGGGGGATGGGAGTAGGGGGAGGGAAAACTGGAGAAAATAAGGGAGAAAGTAACACTATTTGAAAATAAATGTACTCATTACCTTTCTTATGTAATTGTAACCCTTTTGTACATCACCTTAATGATACAATTATTTTTTAAGAAAAGAAAAATTATTCTTAAGAAAGAAAGAATAATTTAGAAGTAATGAATTTTATCAAATACATTTAATGTGTTTACAAACATCACAATTAAGCTACTGTACAATTAATAGGCACTAACTTAAAGTATTAAATAACCCCCAGAGAGTTCCTTGATTAAAGTGAACTATAACTTTTGGACTTGGTGTGGTGGTACATGACTATAATCCCAGCTATGCAGAAGGTAGAAAAGTAGGAAGATCATAGTCTGAGACAGGCCAGGCCAGGGATCTGGAACTTTGGGTGATCTTTGAGCTAAATAAAATAATCATATCTGGAAGTTCAATTCACTAATATTTTATTTTTATTTTTGTCAGTCATGGGGCCTGAACTCTGTGCCTGGGTGCTGTCCCTCAGCTCTTCAGCTCAAGGCTAGCGCTCTACCTCTGCAGCCACAGTGCCACTTCCGGTTTCCTGAGTGGTTTATTGGAGATAATGGTCTCACAGACTTTCTTGCCCAGGCTGGCTTTGAACTGCGATCCTCCTGAGTAGCTAGGATTACAGCCATGAGCCACTGGCACCTGGCCTATCGTCAATATTTTTTTTTTTTTTTGTTAGTCATGGGGTCTGGGTGCTGTTCTCAGCTCTTCAGCTCAAGGCTAGTGCTCTACCACTTGAGCCACAGCACCACTTCCTGCTTTTTCTGTTTTTATGGAGCTGAGGTATCAAACCCAGAGCTGCATGCATCTGAGGCAAGTACTTTATCACTGAGCCACCTTCCTGGCCCTTTCACCAATATTTTAATAATTGGTTCACCACTATTTTCATTGACAAACAAGGAACAACTCTTGTAAATGGTTCCATTATCTTGTCAGTTCTAGTCAATTTAGTTACAGATGCTTTGGCTTTGTTTTGTTTTTTGCCAGTCATGGGGCTTGAGTGGCTGGGTGTTTAGCCCAGCAGAAGGGCGCCTGCCCAGCGCGCAAGGCCCTGGGTTTGGTCCTCAGCCCTGGAAAAAAAAAAAGCTACAAAAGACCAGTCATGGGGCTTGAACACAGGGCCTGCCTTGACATGGTCCATGATTTGCTCAAAGCCAGCTCTCTACCACTTTGAGCCACAACTCCACTTCTGGTTTTCAATCAGTTAATTGGAGATAAGAATCTCATTGACTTTCCTGCCCTGGCTGGCTCTGAACCAATTCCTGAGATCTAAACAAGGATTATGGGTGTGACCCACCAGCACCTGTTAGCTGCTTCGGCTCTTCTGAAAACCAATTTTGTTTTAATACAACATCAATTTTCCCCTAGACTTCAGTGGACTTTCCCAGATTTGCCCCTCATTGGACATAAACTTAAGATTTTTTTTTTTGTCGGTTGTGGGGCTTAAACTCTGGGCTTGGGCGCTGTTCCTGCACTCTACCACTTGAGCCACAGCACCACTTCTGGCTTTCCAGTGGTTTATTGGAGATAAAAGTCTCACAGAGTTTCCTGCTTGGGCTGGGTTTGAACTAAGATCCTCAGATCTCAGCCTCCTGAGTAGGTAGGATTATAGGCATGAACGACCCATGCCCGGCTCAGACCTTTGTTTTAACTAGACATTTCTTTTGACTTGCCATACATCAAGAAGCACTTTTACCACTGAAAATTTATAACTTGCTTTAGTAAATCTTTAATTTTTAGTAATCTAAATTTAATCTTTAGTAAATCTTTTTTTTTCCAGTCCTGGAGCTTGAATTCAGGGCCTAGGCACTGTCCCTGAGCTTCTTTTGCTCAAGGCTAGCACTCTACTGCTTGAGCCACAGCGCCACTTCTAGCTTTTTCTGTTTATATGATACTGAGGAATGGAACCCAGGGCTTTGTGCATGGTAGGTAAGCACTCCACCACTAAGCCACCTTCCCAGCCCAATCTTTAGTAGATCTTAATCCTGACAAATAGAATAAAATACAGACTTTTGCATTTTAGTTTGAGCATAGAAATTTTCCAAGTAGCAACTTTTCCTCAACAAAACTTCCATTTCTGTTTATATATTTTTTTCTGTAAAGAGTAATGTGTACACAGTAGCAGGGGCAGCAAATGTCTTCTTACCTACAGCATAATACTGTTCTACAGGAGAGAGCCAAAGTTAGGAACTTCCTCTGAATGTCAAAATTGAGGGCATGTTTCAATGTTTCACCATCAATGATTAGGGCCACGCCATTCTCTTTGCCTAACATACAGCCAAACTCTTGACAATTCTCATCAATCATTTGTTTTGTTGCCTAAAACAGAGGAGGAAAAGAAGTAACTTTATGTTGCTCATTTTAAATATAAATGAATAGACACCTGAATAAAGCTAGTGGGCTGAGGTATGCTTTGGCTTCATTCTTCTTTTATAAACCTTACTGATAGGGAGCTAGGCACTGCTGGCTCATACTTATCATCTTACATACTCAGGGGAGGTGAGATCTGAGACCTGAGCCAGCCCAGGCGGGAAAGTTCATGACACTCTTCACTTCAATTAACCATCAAAATCCAGAAATGGAGATGTGGCTGAAGTGGTAGAGTGCCAGCCTTGAGAGAAAAAGCCAAATGAGAGCTCTAGGGCCTGAATTCAAAAACTAATGCTAGCATTAAAAAAAAATCACCAATGGGGCAGAAGATATAGCTCAGTTGTACAATGTATGCTTAGGCAAATGCAAAGGCCTTCACTCAATTCTTGGTACCAAAACAAAAATCACTAAACTGGTGTCAAAAAGTAAATAAAAGATCGCTTGAAGTGTCTCCCTCCACTCCACAGTATTGATTTGAATGGCTTTGTCATTGCCGATTGGTCCTGGTTATAGATATAGATGGTAATGGATCAGGCCTGACATTTCATTTCCAGGCAGGCAATGCCTAGGTGAGGGGCGTAGAGGAGTAGCAGTAGCAGGAGAAGGAGTGGTTTATCCTGACACTAAGCAGCCTAGCCATAACCTATCCTGTTCTTTCAAGTATGCCAATGGCATGTGTTTTGATAAAATCATGCTAATTGCCACAGTTTACAAACAAGAAGTTCCAGCTAGTTCATAACCTCACTACCGGTATAGACTTCATGCTCCAACAAAAACAATGGATGGGAAGTGGATCAAAATTCAGATATGGAATCTAGCTCTATCACAAAGTCAGATTAGAGAATTGCATATGATATCACAAGGAGTGACAAATTCAACCACTAGACTGTCTAGTTAGAAGATGCCTACCAACATTCTAATTTCAGCCATTTTATTGGAAAAGAAGTGATTTAAAAAGCCCTGTGCTAGTGCCTCATGTCTGTAATCCTAGCTATTCCTGAAGCTGATATCTAAGGATGGTTGTTTGAAACAAAACTGTGCAGAAAAGTCTGTACAACTTTTACTTACAATTAACCAGCAAAAAGCCAGAAGTGGAAGGTTGACTCAAGTGGAAGAGCACCAGCCTTGAGTGAAAATTAGAGTGTTCCAGACTTGAGCAAAATAGCTAAGCTAGAGTTCAAGGCTCTAAGTTTGAGAGCAGCACACACACACACACACACACACACACACACACACACACACACACACAAAGTGATTTAGAATCTAGAAGAAATTGATGAGAGATGAAAGAAACTGATGTATGGATGATCACATTTTATGATTATATGAAAATTCAGTACCAAACAGAGACAGAAATAATCCACACAGACAGAAGAGTAATGCTTGCCTAGGACCAAAAAATGGGGAGAAGCATAAGAATCTTTTTCAGAGTTAACAAAACAATCAAAATTTTATTGCAGGGTTTTTCACACATATCTGTGCATATATTAAAATCCATTTTACTCAGATGAATTACATGCTCTCTCAATCAATAATGCTGTGTTCCTGAGAACAAATTCACATTATTAGGGAAATACAGAAGTGTGTTATAGCAAACCAGAAAGGTCAGGGGATTTTTGAAAAATAATTAGTAGATGGAAACAGAATATAGAGTAGATATCTAAAAAGATGTCGGTCACACTGACTTATATAGCAAAGACAGACATCACTCAACTTAAGATATGGGCACTGCTTCCCTTAGCATTTTATCTCACTCTATTCTGTGTTCTTGAATATTTTATCCTTTAGTTATAGCCATCACACATCACATGCAATTGTACGGGAGAAAGGGTAGAAGAGAGGAAAATTCAGAACGTGGATTGTAATGGCTGATAACACAGGAGTCACCTAGGGACTTCTTCCTTAATGGCTTTTAAAACTATTTCCCACTCTCCAAGACGTTCTCAGCCACTCATCCCCATCTTAACCAGACCCTAGGGATGAGCCTTCGTAGTAAAGGGGAATATAATACATTTGGTTTCTTCATATACAAAATGGGAGGGGTAGTCAGCAAGGGGCATTTCTCTGAAAATGCCACATTAGTGTTGAAAATACTGCAGATAGACTGACTAGAACCTCAGGATTATGCAGAGATGAATGTTGCACAGGTTCTGTTGGACTATTTATTACCAGCCTCTGTGTCACATTGAACATCTTTGTGACTATTAGGTAAAACTTCACCTTGAGCTGAAGAGCTGAGGGATAGCGCCCAAGCTCAGAGTTCAAGCCCCACGACCGACCAAAAAAAAAAAAACCTTTTAGAATGTATTTTTAAACTTTAACAAACTGACTCTATAATGCTAGAATGTTAACATTTTAAATCTGTGTAAGAGATTTCCTTACTCGTCTGTAACTCAATTACATGATGCCCCTACTAATGTATTAGCCAAATGCATTGACCAGAGACTTTCTTCTGTTCTGTGACTACATGTAATCTCATCCAGAATAATCTGAATCCATGTTCTAGAGCTATGGTCACTCATATACTGGGCTCCGTAGAGCAAGAGCTGTGTTTTGCCTTCTCACAAGTAATTTTAAAACACAAGAAAAATCAACATCTGAGAGACTAAGCAAGCATAAGAATTAGGTTGAGATGGAGGTCTGGCTCAGTTGGTAGAGTGCTAGCCAAAGAGCAAAAGCATCAGGTTACTGAGCTTGAGTCCCAGTCTCAGATCAAAAAAATAAAAAATACAAAAGAAGAAGAATTAGATTGAAATATGGCACAGATAGGGTTCTTGTGTTTTCTTCTCCAGCCAGGCTGAGACTGCAATCCTCCTACTTATGCCTCCCAGTAGCTAGGATTATAGGTGCATAACACTGTGTCTGACTTGTAAGTTGAAATGATCTCACTCATATTTAGCTGATCTAGATCTGCCATCCTCCTTATCTTCACCTTCTGAGTTGCTTCAGTTACAGATATCCTTAAAGAAAAATAAGGATCTGAGTCCTAGATTTGGTATAGCATCCGGGTGGTGACAAAGGAAAAGTCTCAACCAGTTGGAGCATGAGAACTCACCAGAGGCAGAAAGCAGCAGCAACCTGACAGAATTTAGAGATGTGGAGGCAAAAAAAAATGGGGGAAAAGCAAGACTTTCCAATGGATTAGAGTCTGAGTTCAAAGTAATCTTACATAAATTTTTAAGGAGTTGAGATACCCCTGCCAGTAACTATTAATATTTATTTAATTTTATTATTATTACTTTATTATATTTATTATTAATTTTTATTAATAATTGAGTTTGTTTTTTTAATCACTTACCTCAAATGAATTTGCATTCATATGGATACGAGGCACATTCCCTGATATGAGTTTGCAGGAATAGGCTGTAAGGAGAATGATAAAGATGTCCTATTTGAACATTCAATGTTTTCCACAAGCACCTCTTCTTTTTTCTTTTCTTTTTTTTCAGTCTTGGGGCTTGAACTCAAGGCTCTATCACTTGAGCCAGAGCACCACTTCTGACTTTTGGTGGTTAGATGAAAATAAGAATCTCTCAGATTTCCCTGGCCAGGATGACATGGAACTGCCATCCTCAGATCTCAGCCTCTTGAGTTATTATATTGCTTTTTTTTTCATTCCTTCCCTCCCTCCTTCTTTCCCTCTCTCTCCTTCTTTCTCTCTCTCTCCCTTCTTTCCTTCTCTCTCTCTCTCTGTCCTGTGGCTATTTCAAAGTCTAGTATCCCATAATAAAAAACCAAGCAAGGTGTTAACAGAAGGAAAAGGAATGAAAATGTTCATTTTAATCTTAGCATACAACTTAAATAGAAATGTATTAGAACTGGGCGCTGGTGGTTCACACTTGTAATTCTAGCTACTCAGGAGGCTGAGATCTGAGGATCATGAATCAAAGCCAGCACAGGCAGAAAAGTCCCTGAGCCTCTTATCTCCAATTAAGCACCAGAAAACCAAAAGTAGCGCTGTGGCTCAAGTGGTAGAGTGCTTGCCTTGAGTTCAGGGACAGCACCTAGGCCCAGAGTTCAAGCCCCACGAGTCACCAAAACAAAACAAAAAAATAAACAAACAGAAGTTGACTACACCTAATGAATAAAGATAATAAGATCTTAACATTTTTCTCTCTCTCTCTCTCTTTTTTTTTTGTTGGTCATGGGCCTGAACTCTGGGCCTGGGCACTGTCCCTCAGCTCTTCAGCTCAAGGCTAGCACTCTATCTCTTGAGCCACTTCCAGCTTTTTCTGCTTATGTGGTGCTGACGAATTGAACCCAGTGCCTCATGCATGCAAGGCAAGCACTCTACCACTGAACCACCTTCCCAGACCCAAGATCTTACCATGTCTGTGGACTTTTTTTTTTTTTATTATTTCTAGACATGTACTTAAATCCAGGCTTTATAATTATTCCAACTCTGAATCTCTCAAATTCTACTCTATCAAACTGCTATCTCAACCTTGTTATGATGAGTAGATAGACTCTTAAGAGCTTTAGAAGAAAGTAAAGATTAGTTAAGGGAAGAGTCTTTATTAGGTTCAAATACAAGCTCACATCTCTAACTAGAATGAAACTGTTCCTTGAGATATACTGCCCTTACTATTACTTACCTTCATACAAGAAATGATTTAAAAACAAATGGAACAGGTCCTTGAGAAGTTGCCTACTAGCCAGTTGCTTCCTCCTCCCCTATCCCCCCAAAATGTTCCTAAAGGGATAGGATTTGAGAGATTGAGTAAGGGAAGGAATGAGCCTTGCTGTACAAAATAATAACAGGCAATGATTTAATACTAAGAGCAAAGTCTGCCAAATATTGAGCAAGGCAGAACAGCATGTCTCTCCCTTCTTACAAGTTCTATTTTTATCTCTGAGAATTAATGACCACCCTAAGGAGATGGTATGTGTACACAACTCTGTGTTAAATCCCAAAGTTGTCTACTAGCTTACTCTTTAGACTATTTTATTATAACATGTGTGTGTGTGTGTGTATGTGTGCGTGTGTGTGTGTGTATCCTAGGTCTTGAACTCAGGCCCTATGTGATATTACTAAATATTTTAATCAAGTCTAGTACTCTCCTACTTGAACTACAGATTTACTTCCAGGATTCTGGTGACTAAATGGAGATAAGAATCTCATGGACTTTCCTGCCCAGACTGGCTTCAAACCCCAACCCTCAGATCATAGCCTCCTGAGGATTTAGGATTACAGGAATTAGCTACCAGTGCCTGGCTATTTTATTATAACCTAAAAAATTACTTAATTTTATTTTTTGGTCAGTCATAGAAGTTGAACTCAGGTCCGAGGTACTGTCCCTGAACCTTTTTGCTCAAAGCTAGTACTCCACCTTTGAGCCACAGCTCCATTTCTGGTTTTCTAGTGGTTAATTGGAGATAAAAGTCACATGGATTTTCCTGCCCGTGCTGGCTTCCAACAGCAATCCTCAGATATCAGCCTCCTAAGTATATAGGATTATAGGTGTGAGCCACTGGTACCTGGCTTATTATAATTTTTTATGTCTAGGATTATAGTCATGAGCCACAAGTACCCAGCTGATAAATTAGTTTGCAAAATAAACTTTTGCACATCAATAATGGATTATTCTTGGGATAATTTTTCTAAGGACTTGACTCTTCACATAAATCTGTTTTGTATAGGTTGGAATTGAATTCCTTTTGGATATTAATATACTATATTCTTATAAGTTTATAAGTCTCTTAGTCAATTGGAAATCCATTCTTAGTGGAAATGTATATGGTATGATTTTTTTTAGCTTTTCCAAACATGTACAGACACAAAGAAACAAAAGTGACCTCTAATTGCTACAGATTGAGAATGTCTGCTTGCCTACTTTATTGCCATCTGTTCAAGTACAAGGAAAACATAGGCTGAAATTTTTGTCCTTTCCATTCATTATTGGATCATCTAAAACTTCCTAATGCAAGCTTCTTTCTTTCAAATGAAATGATCTTTACATTCAATTTGTACTTCAAAGTCTGCACATTTTTGCTTTTTTGGTTGCAGTGGTTTCTCAAAGTCAGAGACTGTAACCAAAAGGTATTTTTTTTTTTTGGTCATGGGGTTTGAACTTTGGGCCTGGGCACTGTCCCTCAGCACTTCAGCTCAAGGCAAGCACTCTACCACTTGAGCCATAGCACCACTTCTGGTTTTCTGGTGGTTAATTGGAGATGAGAGTCTCAGGGACGGAGTACCAGTGGCTCATGCCTGTAATCCTAGCTACTCAGGAGGCTGAGATCTGAGTATTGCAGTTCAAAGCCAACAAAGCAGAAAAAGTCCGTGAGACTCTTTTTTTTTAATTAAGTTTTTTATTGTGAAAATACTGTACAAAGGAGTTACAGTTACATGAGCAAGGTAATGAGTACATTTCATATCCAGCATTGTCGCCACCTCCTTTGTGTGAGACTCTTATCTCCAATAAACCACTCCGAAAACTGGAAGTGGCTCTATGGCCCAAGTGGTAGAGCACTAGCCTTGAGCTGAAGAGCTAAGGGACAGCGCCCAGGCCCAGAGTTCAAGCCCCACAACTGACAAAAAAAAAAAAAAGTATCACAGGCTTTTCTGCCCTGCTGGCTTTGAACCATGATCATCTGATCTCAGCCTCCTGAGTAGCTAGAATTATAGGCATGAGCCACCTGTGCCCAGCTAAAGGTAATTTTTATATAGTATATAGTATATTTTGTGAGTGTGCTGGTACTGGGGCTCAGTCTCAGGGCCTGGGTGCTGTCCCTCAGCTTTTTCGCTTAAAGCTGGAGCTCTACCTCTTGAGCCACTCTCTCTATTGCAGCTTTTTGCTGGTTAATTGAAGATAGGATTTTCATATACCTTCCCATTTTGGCTGGCTTTGAACCTAAATTCTCAGATTTGAGCCTTCTGCTGGCTCAGATTTTAGGTTTTAGGCACTGGAACCAGGTTTATGTAGTATTTTTTAGTGCATTTGAGGTCAGGTGCAGAATTTCCCCCCTGTGCTATCATGTTGGCATGATAGTCTCAGGGTTTTGACTGTCTTCAGCTTCAGCTTTTTGGATTAGGGATTCTCTGCCTGTATTGATACACTAATTGTCATGGCATGTGGCTACTTAGGGCACAGAGCAGAAGCTCATTGTTGTTGTTGTTGTTGTTGTTGCTGTTTGTCGGTTGTTGGGCTTGAACTCTGGGCTTGGGTGCTGTCCCTGCACTCTTCAGCTCAAGGCAAGCACTTTACTGCTTGAGCCACAGTGTTACTTCCAGTTTTCTAGTGATTTATTGGAGACAAGAGTCTCGTGTACTTTCCTGCCTGAGCTGGCTTTGAACCGTGATCCTCAGATCTCAGCCTCCTGAGTAGCTAGGATTACAGGCGTGAGCCACGGGTGCCCAGTTCAGAAGCTCATTGTTGAGGCATGTTATCAGAAGCTCTCCGAAGGTAACAGAATTCCATGCTGGTCTGAAAACATGCAGCACATTTGAACGTAGTCTGTTTTCATCTGTGACCACTGTCACAAACAAATCCTAGCCTATCAATTCCTGCTAAATCCTAGTCAAAATGTGTTCCTTGACCATGACCCACCCTGTGTATATAATTATTGTCTGGTGGTAACTCAAATGATGCTCAAAACCATCATTATATTTAGGCAGGCAGTGAATAGTGTTTACAATGTCTTCACTCTGCCCAATACTTTAGAAAGAACAAGTACCTTTTCATTTAGTTCTTGTAACCCATGGATGTACTGTGATTATCTTTATGTAATAAGAAAGTAGTGTTGAAAAACTTATCCTCAAAGGCACCAGTTTATAAAAGTACAGCAAAAGATTCAGGCTCAAACTCTGGTCCTTCTAACTACAAAGCTCAAGATTTTCAGCCACCACCCTCTTCATTGCTCTTTCAAAGAGGTAAAGAGCTAAGTGCCAGGAGCTCATGCATGCCAGTCTCTCTCCTGGAAAGACCAAGAAGGGAAGGATTGAGGTTTGAAGGCAACTCAAGAAGAAAGTCTGTGAGACTTTTATTTCTAATTAACCACCAAATAATAAGACACTACTTCAGCTGTAGCTCAAGTAGTAGAATAGCAGCCTTGAGTAGCAAAACTAAGGGACAGCACCCAGGCCCTGAGTTCAAGTGCCAGAAAACAGTAAAAAAAAAAAATCAAACACCTTTTTGTTACACCTGTTACCTATGTTAATTGCAGTTTCTTGTTTATCTCCTGTCAACACCCAAATTTTTATGTTTGCTCTCAGTAAAGTTGATATGGTTTCTGGAACGCCGGCTTGAAGACGATCTTCAATGGCTGTGGCTCCAAGCAGCATAAAGTCCTAGATGTTTTTTGAGAGAGTATTTTTTGTATTACTAAAGATTCAAAAATAAGATGGAATGAATTAGGAAACACAGATATATAGCCTAATTGTTTATGTAACTTCTATGTATGTCCACACATTTTTCCATTCTTTTCATTTTTTATTTGTACTACAGTGAGAGCAATCCAGCATGCAGACATTCTTATTGACAATAAACCTACAGTAAAGATAAAGACACATATAGATTAAAAGTAAAGGGATGGAGAAAGATATACTGTACCATCTTAACACAAATAAAAGGCAAGATTATTTCAGAGAAAACATACTTTAAGAAAGGAAAATTATCAAGTACAAAAGCCAGGTGCCAATGGCTAACAGCTGTAATCCTAGCTACTTAGGAGGATGAGATCTGAGGATTGCAGTTCAAAGCCAGTCCAAGCAGGAAAGTCCATGAGATTCTTTTCTCCAATTAGCCACCAAAAAGCCAGAAGGAGAGCTGCGGCTCAAGTGGTAGAGTGCTAGCCTTGAGCAAAAAAGCTCAGGGATATCACCCAGGCTGTGGGTTCAAGCCACAGGACCAGTACACACACACACACACACACACACACACACACACACACACACACACACACACACACACACACACACACACACATTTACCCAGGGAAGACAGATGAATAATCAATAGACATATGAAAAGACCCTCAATATTAATCACTAAAGAAATGAAATTAAAACCATAGTGAGATGTAATTTCATAGCCAGTAGGATGATTATAATTAATAAAGGACAGTGACAGGAGTTGATGAAGATGGGAAAAAATTAGAACTTTTATATGCTAGGACTGAGACTGTACAACAGTGTGGTCACTTTGAAAAACAATCTGACAGCTACACAAATAGTTTTCTATGTAGTTACCACATGACCTCACAATTCCAAAATCAGAACAAAAAAGGAAGCAAGTCACTAAAGAATGCATATCATATAAGTCCACTTATAATTTTCAGTAATTTTTAAAATCTTATTATGAAGGTGATGTACAGAGGGGTTACTTATAATTCTAGTTGTCTGAAAGAGGCAAACCTATAGGGTTAGAAAGCAGATGGGTAGGTGCATAGGGCTAGAAGTGGAGAAATGGAAGAACTGTGTGAATAATCATGGTCATGGGGTTTTGTAGGAAATGTTGAAACTATTCTATTTTCATTGTTTGATGGGTATGCAAATGTGAATATAGTTATGATATCTTACAGTATATTTAATGGGACTCGTGATTTCAAATACAGAAATTATCTTCCTTACCATTCCCCCAACAAGAAAAGAATTTAAAATCTTATGATTCCCTAAGGGGAAAATAAGAAGCAAAGGTATTAGCCTAAGAGCTTGGAAGAGGGCCAGAAAATACCCCAGTAATTTTGAACAAGAGATGTCCTCCTAGGGCTAACTATGTTTTGGTCAAACATTTTTAAGAATAAAATGCAGAGTTTATTGACTCAAAGGAACAGAAGAACTCTAAGCCAAGAATCTAAGGAAAAGATTGCCTAAAGATCAATGAAATTTCAGAGGCTCTAGCAGAAATAAATTCACTATGACCTCATAGTGATACTCTCCAACTCATAACACTGCCCTGGAGAAAAGGAACACCCAGAACACCCAATACAAATGCATTCAAACTTACATTAGAACTCATAAGACTATTCAAAGATATGGGTGAAAAGTGCTCCCAATGTTTTATTGTTAAGTGCTCCCAATTTGTCATGTGAAAAATTCATGCTTCAAGCATGTGGTGAACACATGCTAACTGTAATGCAGAATGTATGCCTTCAACTTATGTAACTGAATAATACAGAACAAATAAGAACACACACATATAAAGACAGAGGCTGGAAGTGTATACATCAGACCCTGCTCATTACCCCAGCACTGTAGATGATTATGCATTATTCTAGCTTATTTTTCCATAATGAGCACTACAAATTTTTGACTGGAAGAAGTACAAAAACAGTTGTAAGACTTTAGCAGTTTCAGGATATGATTCAGAAACACAGTTTGATACAGGTGGAAGAAACCCACCAAACTTTCACTGATTTTATATCACTGACAAGTAGATTTCCTTCCTGTGTTGCTCTCAATTGACTTACCTTTTCAATGATATCGTAGCAATCCTCCAGTTTTTTAATTCGGTCATATAAGTTGGTGCTAGCTTTCTCATACTCCTTCAGCCAGTGCTCATATTCCTCCTCAGTTAAATCAGCATAAGCTACACAGAGAGTTCTCAGACCTGCGAGATCATGGCATAGCATAGTTCTATGACTAGCAACCAGGGAAAAGTCGAACATGAGGGGGAAAAATATCCAAAAGCATTGTTTTTGGCAGTATTGTTTTTTTTTTGTTTGGTTTTGTCATACTAGAGTTTTAATTCAGAGTCTTGAACTTACTAGGAAGCTGTTTTACCATCTGAACCATACCTCTAAGCCCTTTTGACTTTATTTTTTGAATAGGGAATCCCACTGATTCCCTAGGCCAGTCTGGAATTCAGTACTTCTGTTTTAGCTTCCTGAGTAGCTGTGATGACAGGTATATGCCACTGTGTCCAGCTTTTATTGGTTAAGATGAGCTCTCATAAGCTTTTTTGTGGTCGGTCATGGGGCTTGAACTCTGGGCCTGGGCGCTGTCCCTCAGCTCTTCAGCTCAAGGCTAGTGCTCTACCACTTGAGCCACAGCGCCACCTCTGGTGGTTTATTGGAGATAAGAGTCTCCTGGACTTTTCCTGCCCAGGCTGGCTTTGAACCTCGATCCTCAGATCTCAGCCTTCTAAGTAGCTAGGATTACAGTCGTGAGCTACCAGCGCCCAGCTTCTCGTAAGCTTTTTTGCTAAGGCTAGTCTCAAACTGCAATGTTCCCGTTTCTCTGCCTCCTGAGCAGCTAGCACGATAGACATGAATCCACTGTATGGATAGTAGCAATGTTTTAAAACCAGGGCCTTGTGCACACTAGGCAGGTGCTCTACACTTGAGTGACACCTCCAGCCTTTTCTGTTTTTAATTATTTCTCAGTAGGGTTTTGTACTTTTCCTGGGATGACTGAACCTCAATCCTTCTCTGCCTCTAGCAGACCTAGTATTTGAATTAAGAGTCTGCCCCAGGGCTGGGAAGGTGGCTCAGTGGTAGAGTGCTTGCCTTGCATGCATGAGGCCCTGGGTTCGATTCCTCAGCACCACATAAACAGAAAGAAAAAAGCCGGAAGTGGTGCTGTGGCTCAGGTGGTAGAGCACTAGTCCTGAGCTGAAGAGCTGAGGGACAGTGCCCAGGCCCAGAGTTCAGGCCCCACAACCGGAACCCCCCCCCAAAAAAAAAGAGTCTGCCCCACGACCGACAAAAAAAAAAAGAGTCTTGCTAACTTTTGCCCAGGTTGACCTCTAACAATGATCCTCCTGTCTCTGGCTACTGAATAGCTGGGATTATAGGCATGAGCTACTGCAACCACAGGAAAATCTAGAAGTATTTTGAATATACTTGATATGGACTGCTTATCATGCTCCAGCTCCTTTCCTTACTCCTCCTGTGCTATGCCTGCTTGTCCATATAGTTCTAGGTTCTCCTATCTCTATATCTTGCATGGAGAGCCATACAGGTCTATCTTCTTTAAGTCTCTGCCTAAAACACTGCCTGATACCTTACCCTGTTTTATTTTCTTAATTATCATCATAATACTTAGCACCACCTGATATTATCTACTTGTTGATAAATCCCTTCAAGATTTGAGCTTTATAGGTTTATTTACTGCTAGGCTAGAGGTTTACAACAGTATATAGAACTTAATAGATTCCCAATAATTGTTTGTTGAATGAATGAATGAATGCGCAGTTTTTCTGTTATGGTCAAATAATTTCTAAATTAACAGAATATTAATTTTTTTTTGTCGGTCGTGGGGCTTGAACTCTGGGCTTGGGCACTGTCCTTGCGTTCTTCAGCTCAAGGTGAGCTCTCTACCGCTTGTGCAACAGTGCCACTTCCGGTTTTCTAGTGGTTTATTGGAGGTAAGAGTCTCATAAGACTCTCACGGACTTTCCTGCTGGCTTTGAACTGCAATCCTCAGATCTCAGCATCTTGAGTAGCTAGGATTACAGGTGTGAGCCACCGGTGCCCGGCTCAGAATATTAATTTAAACTAGATTTTGTGAGAAAAAAATTTTTAAATACTAAGTGTACTATACTTCAATGACTCAGAAAAAATCCATACTTGGAGATTCCTTAGAAATTAACTGTCTATAGAATACATGCATGTTGCTCTGTATAATACTGTTCTTCCTGTATGTTTCTACATATTTCAGCCTGTGTACAGCACATCTATATCTTAGGATTCCAATGAAATCAGGTGCCAGCGGCTCATACCTGTAAGTCTAGCTACTCAGGAGGCTGATAACTGAGGATCACAGTTCAAAGCTAGCCCCGGCAGAAAAGTCTATGAAATTCAAAAATCTAGAAGTGGAGGTATGGTTCAAGTGATAGAACACCATCCTTGAGCAAAAACATAAAGTCAAGCAAGAGTGAGAGTTCCTTAGTTCAACCTCAGTGCTGGCACAAAATGAAAGCTAAAGGGAAGTGGAGGGCGGAAAGAAGAAAGGAAGGGAGGGAAAAAAGAGAAGGATAGAGTGGGGAGAGAAAGAAAGAGAAGGAAAGGGAGGAACAGAGGGAAGGAGGGAGGTAGAGAGGATGGAGGGATGAAAGGATAAGACTAATGAAATATCCAAAGTACAATGTGAAAAACTGAACTACTGAACTTGATCGTAGGGACAGGATAGGGAAGGATGGGGCAGAGCCATGGGAGGAGGGACATTGACCGAAATGCATTATACTCATAACCTGAGTTCTGGAACTGGAACTCCTTTGTACAGCTACTTAATAATAAGAAATTCACTTTTTAAAATAAAACAATATTTTCAAAAGGACTCTAAGAATCTTTACTTACCATTTGTAGCAAAATATTCCAGATGGCTTAATGTGTCCTCCACAAACTCAGAATTTTTTGAAAGTCTCTCATAAATCACTGCATCCTATATTATTTAAAAAAAAAGACTCCTCATGATTAACATTTTATACAAAGATTCAAATCCAAATTCCAAATGCTGCTTGAGAATCTTGTTAGTCATAAGAAGTGTGAGGAGTTGGAGCAGCCAGAAGGAAAAGACAATTCCAGACTTTCAGAGATAAGATTTTAAGGTTGAATTGCTCTACTCTAAGCTAAAATGTCATAGTTGCTGATTGGGCTGCAAATGGTTTCAGCTATGTGAGATTCAGATGACAAGGTTACTCACTGCTGGTAGGTTATACAAAGAAGCTAAATGATGCTGGCTGCTAGTGGTTCACACCTGTAATCCTAGCTACTCAGGAGGCTGAGATCTGAGGATTGCAGTTTGATGCCAGCCTAGGCAAGAAAGCCTTATCTCCAATAAACCACTCAGAAAAAGCTGGAAGTGGCCCCGTGGCTCAAGTTGTAGATAGAATGCTAGCCTTGAGCAAAATGAATAGTATCCAGGCCCTGAGTTCAAGTCCCAGAACTGCCCCCTTCCCCACCATTTCCCAAAAATCCAGACCTATGGCAAAACACAGGAAATAGATGAATGTGGTATTAAATATCCAACAGTATAAAAAGTATGTTACCAGCCAGGCCCCAGTGGCTTAAGCCTCTAAGTGAGTATTGAATCATAATACTTACTGCCCCTTTGCAGTAGAGCCGAAGCTGGCCCATGGGCGTCCGGACAATTACAGACATTCTTTTCCGGTTGCTAGAACAATATTTTTTTTAAGTATCATTACTTTCCATTTTCTTCAGTACATGGTGCTAACACAGACACACACACACACACACACCAACACATACACACACACACACACACACACACACACACACACACACACACACAAAACCAAAAAGCTAATCAGAAGAATTTCAGTAGTTCAAGTCCTTAGCTGACAGTGAAAAGGTCAACATGTTTCTTCAACTGCCACTATTTCCTTTTTCTAAACAAACTAAACAAACTCGAGTTCTAATTATAAACCGCAGTATCTTTTCTAGTTCTACTTAAGAATGAAAAGACAATTCTGAAGTGTTGGTGATTCCTCCCTATAATCCTAGCTTCATAGGAGTCTGAGACTTGGGGAATCATGCTTTGAATCTCCATCTTCAATTAACCAGCCAAAAGCTGGGCTGCAAGTATGGCTTAAGTGGCAGAGCACCAGCTATGAGCAAAGAAAACTGAGAGCATGAGGCCCTGAGTTCAAGCCCTGGTACCAACACACACACACACACACACACACACACACACACACACACGTAAAAGTGCTGTAAATAGGAAATGAACTACTTAATAATAATAAAAATTAGAAAAATAAAAATTAAAAGAGAATTGGGAAAAAAACACAAAGCAGATCATAATTTCCTGCTAATAACTAATATGCCTCCCTTAGAAAAAAATCAAATTCCTATAAAGACCCTGTAAAGCCTACTTGGAATTTACCAAACCTATCTCCTGGACTCCCGCTCCTTCTATATCCTGGCACCATATTGATCCCACGGTGGTTCTGGACACCAGAAAAATCTCCCCAGCGCCTTGGATCCAGCTGTATCTATCTGCCAAGGAGTGAATATGCCCTTTCCACTTAGTTACCTGGCTGCCTCTTCCCATCTTTCCAAATTCTACCTGAATTACACCCCCAGAGCTAAGTGAAAATTTTGATGACATACAATAACTGATCTACTAGTAGTCAAATATTAAGAAAGGGGAAAGCTAGAATGATCCATGAGATATATCTTATTGTCATAAAGATTTTTTAAAGAGACTTTTCTGTGTGTGTACAAGGGGGAAAATTGGAGCTTTTTAAAAAATATAATCAAGGGGCTGGGAAGGTGGCTCAGTGGTTAAAGCACTTGCCTTGCATGCCTGAGGCCCTGGGTTCGATTCCTCAGCACCACATAAGCAAAAAAAAAAGCCGGAAATGGCGCTGTGGCTCAAGTGGTAGAGCGCTAGCCTTCAGCTGAAGAGCTGAGGGACAGTGCCCAGACCCAGAGTTCAGGCCCCATGACTGGACCCAAAAAATATATATATATAATCAAGTTGGAAGACTTGTGTCATTTAAGAATAATCGGCTTGCAGGGCAATAGTGGCTCACACCTATTATCCTAGCTACTTAGGAGGCTGAGATCTGAGGATCGAGGTTCAAAGCCAGCCCAGGCAGGCAAGGCTGTGAGACTCTTATCTCCAATAAGCCACCAGAAAACTGGAAATGGTGCTGTAGCTCAAGTAGCAGAGCACTTACCTTGAGCTGAAGAGCTCAGGGAGAGCGCCCAGGTCCAGAGTTCAAGCCCCATGACCAACCGACAAAAAAAAAAAAAGCTCAAG